AATGTTTACAAACGCGAACGAGAGATTCGCCCTCATCTCCGGATCGCTACTGCGCCATACCCTCGTCGAATTCGTGAATACAGTTGTTTATAATATTTTTTTTCCAAACATTAAGTTATGATATACAATTTATACAAATATAAGATTCATGCAATAGTTATATGCCTACGACGATTCGATTCAAGATCGTACGGATAGATTTTTATAATACGATTTAAATTTATCAAAGTTGGGCGAAACGAAAAGATTCAATGGTATATTATCAATAACAGCCATATTATTGTACTCTTTAACATAACGTAAATTCGGTTTGATTTTATAACAAGTACCTAATAGATTGAAAATCTTTTGGCAATATGAAAAACAATAAATCCGATTCGTGTAAACGTTCATAATAGATTTTTTCACATACTTATGGTTGGTGAATTATTTAAAAATTAATAAAATACTGTTTTGTTACGTTATATTAGTGTAATATCAGTAATAGATATTTGTATAATACGTTTATGCTTATTGATGATTTATTTTTCACAATAATACATTACATAAGTATATATATCCGTTCAATAATATAATACAATATTATCCTAAATTACGTGTGAGCATCGATAAATTTTTATAAGAAGTTTTAAATTTACCGAAAGTCGGTAAAACAAAAAGATTAAACAATGTATCGTCGTTTTTCGCCGACGGATCGTACTCTCTGACATAGTCGTTTGATTTGGGTTTATAACAACCGCTCATAGCATTATAAACTTCGTCAAGTATGAAAAACAATAGAGCCGCTTGCCATGGATTCGCGTGAGCGTTCATAATAGATTGTTTCATATACTTATGATTGGCGCCCAGACCGTGAAAAATTCTATGTTTGAATAGAATTATATCGTCTCGTATTTGATTTAAAAATTCTTTATTTGTGATGTTTCTGGGTGATCGCAATCGTTGATTCGTCAAAGACGTTTTTACCGCTTTGTGTGGGTATAGCAAAACTTTACGGATATCTATTTCCGGACGCAGCTCTATGGCGTAACAATTTTATAATTTTTCATTCAGAGCATCGCGATTGAGAAAATTAAAATCGTAACTGCTCTCCACCAAATGTCCGACAAACCAAGCGATGCGCAGTAGCGCAAACGATCATTATTCGCGAGTACTCGGAAATCTAAATCTACTGTTCACGTAGCGTTGATCATAGAAAATACAAATGTTATTCCTGACCACATAATTCGTCGGTTCGGCAAATTACCTTGTCGAAATTATTACTCTCCATCTTTTTGATCACGTCGGGAAATAAATCGCGGTAATACGACGACTTGACGTTCGGATCAAATTCCGGCACAAGTGTTTCGTCTTTGATACAAGTTCTAAAATACGACCATATCAAACTGTAAATCTGTGAAAATATGTTTTTGGTATAGATGATGTATTTCAATAATTTTAGCTTTACCAGAACAACGTCTCGCTGTCGGAGGTGTTTACTGCTATGCTCGTATCCGACGGTAATGATCGTCGACTCGGGATGATGTTCGTAATCGTATTCATAGTTAACGTGCGGATTTCTTTGCAATACGTCCATCAACACTTGTTTTAAAATTAATAATTCGTAATAATAATTAGGATTATATATAAAATCTACATATATTCCTCTTTTTTCATCGGCATTATCACCGGCTCGGTCGTCGTTGTTGTCGACATCATCGCCATTGGCATCGAATGGTGCGGCTCTGCGTTTTCTCGACGAAGAATCCGCCTTACTATTGCATATTATCGAAGACTCAAACAGATGTTTCATCTCTTTAATCTTCATTGGTACGTCTTTACTGATATCATCGTCGTCCGTGATTATGCCTATGCTTTTGTATTCGCCCACGGCTTCGGAGGTGTCTATGGGCAATCCATCTTCAGCGGTTTCGTCGTGATTTGATTTATAAATAAAAAATAATAAGAATAACGAAATCACCACAGCAGTACAGATGATCACTATTTTATTCATCTTGCCGCAAAGACCGGCCGACTTGATAGAATCGAACGAGACGTATACGGTAAAACGAAAAACACTTGGTATAATGGACTGATCGATTATCTTCGCGTATATATATTATTTCAACATTAAAAAATCGAGTCGATTATAGAAAGATTAGATAAATTTATATAAGAGTCACAAATTTAACAAATATCGAGATTCGTCTATATAATTGTCGCGTAAACCAATATGTCTTACCAAAATATAAAGAATAATCATCATCATCATCATCA